GTTCAAGTTATGAGATTACCTGGTAATGTTATATTACCTGAAAGCTGATGTGGCGGTAATGTTTCAAGGTAATGTGATTACCCCCCATTTTCTTAGGTAATATTAGATTACCTTGATTTATTCCAACATTGCCCTTGTTAACTAATCCTTAAATAATATATATATATATATATATATATATATATATATATATATATATATATATATATATATATATATATATATATATATTAATATTTAAGTATTCACACACACACATATTATTGAAGACATTATTGTAAATTGATTCATATAACATAAAATATAACCCTTAACCAAACAAGGTAATATTATATTCCACAATCCAAACCAAACACATAAGGTAATTTTATATTCCCAAAATCTCACATTACCTTCCTAGAGGTAATCATATTACCTTGGGTAATCTAAGATTCCGTGAACCGAACGCCCCGTAAAAGAGATTTATCAATAAATAAAGGTCCTAAAGATAAATTCTCTAGAAGATTTTCGTCAACATTTTACACAAGATATTTGCCAAATGAAGAGAAGTGTGATCGAGATTGGCTTGTATATTCAATTCAAAAGAACTTGACAATGTGTTTTTTTTTTAAAGCTGACTCTATTACATTGTAGTATCTGTTCGTCTATACTTTCTCAACCTGTTGAAGCACAAAAAGTCAACACCGCCTCCACTGAGGCTCGATCTCATGACCTTCCATATGAGAGAGTCACTACATGTCATTTGAGCACAAAGTACTTGGCATGTGTTTTATTTTTATTGCAAGTTTTTTTTTAAAAAAAAGTCTGTTTTTTCAACACGACGCAGCACAAAGTCTATGATGTTTTGATGGCCCGCGACCCCTCCTTCTCTCCCGAAGGTTGGGGCTTGGAGTCGCGCATGGCCCCTCCTCCGCTGCCTGTCAACACCGTCGATGTCTTCCTTCCAGCTGTTCCAGTTCAGACGGTCACTGCGGCCGCCGATGCAGTCTGCCGGTCGATGAGCTTGGTGGTCAGAAGGAGCTGCCGGTCGGCGAGGTGCCTCTCCAGCCTGAGGACCCTTCACCTACTCTTCCTGCTGGACCAACGGCGAATGGGCAAGGTGAAGGTCGTGATGGGGTCGCGGCAGGATCCCTTTAGACTAGGGCCCTTGTACTTCTCTTTTATTTCTGTAATGGGGCTTCGATCCCTTTTTAAATTTCAATATAAGATGCCCCTTTTACTTCCATTTTGCCTTCTTTATTTTACTCATATGCACTTTTTTTTTTTTTTTTTTGCTTCGAACCTTCTAAGGGTTTGAGCCCTGTCTTTTTTTCCTTTTGCTTGCCGAGTCCCTTAGTCGAGGCGTCCTTTGGCTTTTTCTAAGAAACGTCTAAGGGTCAGTGCCCTTGTTTCTTTTCTCTTTCTCTTGCGGAGTCCCTTAGTCGAGGCGACCTTTGGCTTTTTCTAAGAAACGTCTAAGGGTCAGTGCCCTTGTTTCTTTACTCTTTCTCTTGTCGTGTCCCTCAGTCAAGGCGACCTGTGGCTTTTTCTATGAAACATCTAAGGGTCAGTGCCCTTGTTTCTTTTCGCTTTCTCTTGCCGAGTCCCTTAGTCGAAGTGACCTTTGGCATTTTCTAAGAAACGTCTAAGGGTCAGTGCCCTTGTTTCTTTTCTTTTTCTCTTGCCGAGTCCCTCAGTCGAGGCGTCCTTTGGCTTTTTCTAAGAAACGTCTAAGGGTCAGTGCCCTTGTTTCTTTTCTTTTTCTCTTGCCGAGTCCCTCAATTGAGGCGACCTTTGGCTTTTTCTAAGAAACGTCTAAGGGTCAGTGCCCTTGTTTCTTTTATCTTTCTCTTGTCGAGTCCCTAAGTCGAGGCGACCTTTGGCTTTTTCTTAGAAACATCTAAGGGCCAGCGCCCTTGTTTCTTTTCTCTTTCTCTTGCCGAGTCCCTCAGTCGAGGCGACATTTGGCTTTTTCTAATAAACGTCTAAGGGTCAGTGCCCTTATTAGAATTTTTTAATCTTTTCTGTACTAGTGGTTTTTTCACTGTGCGCCTTAAAGGTGCACTTTTTAGGGTTTAATCTCAAATATAAAATCTTCATTATGGAGATACCTTGGTAAGGTTGGCAAGGTGGGCGTGGATTGTAGTTCCATGTATTGATGAGCGAATTGTCATTATATTGCAACGATGAGCGGATGTAAAATACTTGAGAATTGAGAAGATAGTGACATTAATTAAGGACAAAGGTAGAAAATTAAATTTGTTACTTGCAATTTTGCAAACCGGATAGAATATAATACATGTATCCATCATTTTAAAATTTGATATTAAGAAAAATGAAACAACCATCCACATGCATTTATTGTATAAATAAACATGTTGGGAGGTGGTGTGTGGAAATATTTGTATCTTCCATCTATCAGTCCCCCGGCAAGAAGCTAGAATGGATGCATGGGATGAGATGTGATCATTTAGTAGTAGCAGTGGTGTGAAGTGCTACCAACGAAGCATAAACTCCTCCATTGATTTTCAAAAGCGTCTCGTGTGTCCCCTTCTCTGCAATGACTCCATTTTTCACCACAGCAATCAGGTCAGCCACTACATTTGTAAACTTAGAATTACCTATGCCTGAACAATTCCAATATAATCTTGCCTTAATATACTTTAAAGTACTTATTTAAAAAAATAACATTGGGCATTATCTCAACCGCGCAATGCGCGTAAAAAACTAGTACAAATATAAACTTCGTCGTTTCCATCAACTTGCATTGTCTAATATAATTATTAGACATTTTCTAATTTTTACAATATATTTTTATATTTAAATATAAAAACATGTCGCGAATTTTAATTGAAGTTCGTAGCCGTTTCGCGAGTATTAATTGAAATTCAATACTGCAAATCAAACCAAAAATTTTGTTACATAACAAATATTTACTAAGGGTGTTTTTGGAAACCTGAAAAATGAGTTCTGGAAATCATTTTCCAAGTTTTCATTGTTTGGATGTGCCTGGAAAATCAAGTCAACGGAAATCATTTTCCGTTGACTTTGGAAAATAAGCTTGTTTTGGAGGAAAATGACTTCCCCTTTTTTTGGGGGGGAAGTCATTTTCCAACTTTTACACCAACATCACACCACCACCAACATCTTCAACATCATACCACCACCACCTCACTACCACCATCACCACCACTACTGCCGCCGCCACCACACCACCACCGCAACCACTACCACTACCACCACCACCACCAACACCATACCACCACCACCACCACCACCACCGCAACCACTACCACCACCAACACCATACCACCACCACCACCAACACCATACCACCGCTTTTTAATATATAAAATATATTAACACACGCTAAATTTAATATATAAAAAATAAAATAAACTTACACCGCTTTTTTCTTGTTTTTTTTTTTTTTTTTTTTTTTTTTTTGTAAGATAGGCTGAAATATATGCCACCAATGGTGCATACATTTCCTCGGATGTGTTTTCTTCAACGGTTTCTGAGCCATTGTGTGGTTAAGTGTGAAGTTTATAAGTGTGAGTTTGAAATTATAAGATAGGTAGTATTTATAGTTGAGAATTTGGTGAAAAAATCAAGGAACCATTCTTACCGAGCGACGGATTATTGTATCCGTCGCTATATTAAAAAAAAATACGCGTGTTTCAGTAATACCTTGCGACGGATACCATAATCGTTGCTATATTAATAAAAAAAAAATTGGCTACTGCTTTATACTGACTTGCTTGTAATCTAGCGACGGATTTGACGATCCATCGCTAAGAAGAAAAAAAAAATGAAAACAAACGACATGATAAATCTAGCGACGGACTGAATATCCGTCACTACAGCGACGGACACTATATTCGTCGCTATATAGCGACGAATACCCATATCTGTCGCTACACTTGTAACAGAAATTAACCTCGCTTAAAATTCTAGCGACGGATGTACATCCGTTGCTAATCTGTAGCAAATAAAATGAAAGAATTAATTCGCGAAAATTCGTCGCTAGATTACGCGCAAAAATTTACCGCTAAAATTAGGTACGTTTTTAACGACGGAAATATTCCGTTGTAAAATCCGTCGCCAATCCGTCGCAAATCCGTCGCTATATGTCTATTTAATAAAAAAAAATGAAACCCCGTCACTATGTTGTCGCTATTCCGTTGCTAGGTTTGCAACGGAATGGATCCGTCGGTAACTCCGTTGCTATTTTCACATTTTTTTGTAGTGTCACCCCCTTGTTGGGTTTCGTGTTGGGTGATGGTATTGTTGAGTATCGACCCATCACATCACAACTGACACACAAGTAAGAATAACATTTTTCCTGTGGCGAATGAACCAGATATGCAAGTGGGACTTGTGTCTTATGAGAGACGCATGTGGCACATGCGTCTCTTGTGACTGGTGGCGTTAGTCGCAAATGGAAGAGAAACGCAATTGGCAATTATGTTTCTTTTATTGTACGAGAAACATCGTACCACTTGCATTTCATTTTCACATCCTATATGCTTGAGAGATGCAAGTGGCACTTTGGCGTATTTTTTAGAAAAAAAAAAAAAAAAAAAAAAACTTTTTCAATTTTTTTCTTAAACTCGTTCATCTCCCAAATAAGCTTTTCCTAAAATTATACATTTTTTAAAACCTTCTTATTTTTGTCATTGTCTTTTCTTTTCTTTCCATTTCAGTCATTTGCCCATATGGCATTGACCTTCTTGAGGGTCCATGGAGGCTCCATGTCCAAGATGACCATTATCTTTTCCGGACTGGACTCGATGCCTCTCCTCGAGACTATTGAATCCAAGGTTTTTTCACTATGCGCCTTGAAGGTGCACTTTTTAGGGTTTAATCTCAAATATAAAATCTTCATTATGGAGATACCTTGGTGAGGTTGGCGAGGTGGGCGTGGATTGTAGTTCCATGTATTGATGAGCGAATTGTCATTATATTGCAACGATGAGCGGATGTAAAATACTTGAGAATTGAGAAGATAGTGACATTAATTAAGGACAAAGGTAGAAAATTAAATTTGTTACTTGCAATTTTGCAAACCGGATAGAATATAATACATGTATCCATCATTTTAAAATTTGATATTAAGAAAAATGAAACAACCATCCACATGCATTTATTGTATAAATAAACATGTTGGGAGGTGGTGTGTGGAAATATTTGTATCTTCCATCTATCAGTCCCCCGGCAAGAAGCTAGAATGGATGCATGGGATGAGATGTGATCATTTAGTAGTAGCAGTGGTGTGAAGTGCTACCAACGAAGCATAAACTCCTCCATTGATTTTCAAAAGCGTCTCGTGTGTCCCCTTCTCTGCAATGACTCCATTTTTCACCATAGCAATCAGGTCAGCCCCTTTAATTGTTGCTAAACGGTGAGCCACGACGACAGTGGTCCGGTTCACCATCACGCGCTCCAACGCCTCTTGCACTATGTGCTCTGACTGTGTGTCCAGCGCGCTCGTAGCCTCGTCCAGTAGAAGAATTCTTGGTTCTTTAAGTATCGCTCTAGCGATGGCTATCCGTTGCTTTTGACCACCGGATAGTTGTGTCCCCCTCTCTCCCACCGGAGTATCGTAGCCGTGAGGCAGTGAGGAGATGAAATTGTGAGCATTGGATGCTTTTGCAGCCTCAATGATCTCTTCCTCTGTAACATTTCCTTGTTTGCCATAGGCTATGTTGTCGCGAATCCTGTCATTGAAGAGTACTGGTTCTTGGCTCACCAGCCCTATTTGTTGCCTTAGCCAACTTAGGTTGAGTTTCTCGATTGGAACCCCATCCAGCAAAACCTCTCCAGAATCAGGATCATAGAATCTCTCTACTAGCCCAATCACCGTTGATTTCCCACTTCCACTCTCTCCAACAAGAGCGCATGTCTTTCCAGCAGGCATAGTGAGGCACATGTCCTTGAAAATTTCGATATCGGGGCGAGTTGGATACTTGAATGCTACATGTTGTAGCTCGATATCTCCTCGGACACTAGTTAATGTCGTACCTTGTTCACTGCTACTATCAATCTTGTGTTTTCTGTCAAGAATGTCGAATATAGAGGCTGCTGAATCCTTAGCCTTGTTAAGGTCTGGTGCCATAGCAGAGGATTGAGAAACTCCAGTAGCAGTCATTGCCAGTGCAAAGAAAACCTGCGAAATTCAAAAGCTAGCTAGCTAATTAAAACTTTAGTTGTTTGAATTCATGAATCATTAATTCATTATTATTCTGACCTTGAAGACCTCTGGAAAGGTTGCTAAGTCGTGTTCAATAAGAACAGCTCCTATGTAGAAACAAAATGCATTTGTGAGATAGAGCACAAGAGAACCAAAGCCCAAACCCCCTCCACTTATGAGTCCTATTTTAACCCCTTGCTTCATAGGCTCTTCACATTTCTTCTGATACATAGCCATCACCTTCTCTTCTGCACAAAACGAGGCCACGGTTCTTATGCTCCCAACTGCATCATTTGCAACTTGACTTATTATGAAATTAGGAAGAGAACAGGAAGAAGAGCTCTGTTTATTGATGTGTATGAAAAATGAATGAATGAGATCAGTTTGTACAGAGACTTAGCAGAGGAAAGAAAACCAATGAAACAGTAAAGAAACTAACTAACTACTAACTGCCATTCTAACTGCTACTTTACAATTAAGCTAACTGCCATTCCAACTGTCCAAACTATACTCTAATACCCCCCCTCAAGCTGGAGTGTACATGGAATGAAGCCCCAGCTTGGAAACCAGATTGTGAAACACCATTGGCTGAAGGGGTTTGGTCAGAATGTCTGCTGTTTGATTCTCAGTAGAGACATGTAGCAATTTGATGATTCCTTTCTGAACTTTCTCCCTTATCAAGTGGCAGTCAATCTCTATATGTTTGGTTCTCTCATGAAACACGGGGTTCTCTGCTATGGCAATGGCAGATTTACTGTCTGAAAACAACACAGCTGCATCAGTCATCTTGACTTCAAGAACCTCAAGCAGGTAGAGTAGCCATTGCAATTCACATGCTGCCAGGGCAATTGCCCTATACTCAGCTTCAGAAGATGATCTTGAAACTGTGCTTTGCTTCTTAGATTTCCAGGATATCAAGGCATCTCCTAGGAACATGCAAAATCCAGTTACAGACTTCCTAGTATCAGGACATGATGCCCAATCTGAATCAGCAAAGCCCCTTAGCTTTAAATTGGAATTTGCAGGAAAAAATAATCCTTGCCCAGGGCTGCCTTTGATGTATCTTAATATCCTATGAGCTGCTTGCATGTGGATGGTGGTGGGAGAATCCAAGAATTGAGATAATTGTTGGACAGCAAAGCTAATGTCAGGCCTGGTGATGGTCAAATAAAGAAGTTTCCCTATTAATCTTCTGTAAACAGTGTTGTCCTTTAGAGCTGAGCCATCAGTTTTTGATAATCTATGTGCCTGAATCATGGGGCATCTTACAGGCTTGCTCCCAAGAAATCCTGTATCATGTAGAAGATCTAAGGCATATTTCCTTTGTGTCACAGAGATGCCCTTCTGACATCTAGCAACCTCCAGCCCCAAGAAAAATCTTAGATTGCCCAAATCCTTGATCTGAAAAGCTGAATGCAAGTGATCTTTTATTTGTTGTATCTGCTGCCTGTCCCTGCTAGCCAATACTATGTCTTCAACATAGACTAAGAGAGCTACAAAAGTGTCACCTGAACCCTTAGTGAATAAAGAATTATCACAGGTAGCTTGCTTGAAACCCATGTTTAACAATTCAGTAGTCAATCTTGCATTCCATTGTCTGCTTGCTTGCTTTAGACCATAAAGATATCTCCTTAGTCTGCAAACTTGGCCTGGTTGTGCAGGTGTGAACCCTGGGGGGAGATTCATATAGACTTCTTCTTGGAGATCTCCATGTAGAAAGGCATTATTAACATCAAGTTGATGTAATTGCCATCCCTTTGCAGCTGCTATAGTGAGGAGAGTTCTGATAGTTGTTACCTTGGCTACTGGACTAAAGGTATCAACATAGTCTATTCCACAAGTTTGAGTGTACCCTTTTGCAACCAGCCTAGCCTTGCACCTTTCAATTGTTCCATCAGCTTTGTGCTTGACCTTGTAAACCCATCTACACCCAATTGGCTGCTTAGATTGTGGAAGTGTAGTCAGTTCCCATGTATTGTTGGCCTGTAGGGCCTCTATTTCTGACTGCATTGCAGCCCTCCAACATTCATGTTTAATGGCTTCACTGTAGCACTTGGGCTCTTGAATGTGGAGAATGTTAGTAGCAAAAGCCTTAAAACTGGGAGACACTTTGTCATAGGACAGAACAGCTGCAAGGACATGAGGAGAAGTCCTTGCAACAGGTAGGCTGTAGTCATAGTCCTCAAGGTAGGCAGGTCTTGTTACCAGTCTGCTGGACCTCCTAGGCTCAACTGGAATCTGTTCTTGTTGAGATTGCATTCTGCTAGAATGATCCTGAGTGGAACTTGATGCTAGAGTGTCTGGAAGTATAGGGCTGTCAACATCTCTAGCTTCCTCTCTTGGATTCTCTTTCTGAAGGATGATATCTTCCATAACATTATTGTAACTTGGTAAAATAAGGGACTGATGTAAGTCCTGTTTGTGTGACTGATCCTCCTCTATTCTGTAAGGAAACATGTGCTCATAAAATACCACATCCCTTGATATGAATACCTCCCTAGAACTCAGATCATATAGCTTATATCCTTTCACTCCATTAGGGAACCCAAGGAACAAACACTTCCTGGCTCTAGGTGAAAACTTCCTTTGATGACCCTTGTGTATCATGGCATAGGCTAAGCACCCAAAGACCCTTAGATGAGAATACTGAGGTGCCTTTCTGAATAGGATTTGGTGAGGAGTCTGCCCTTGTAAAACTGTGGATGGGAGTTTATTAATGATATAGACAACATGTAAGATACAATCACCCCAGAAACCATCAGACAATCCTGATTGAAATTTCAAAGCTCTTGCAACTGCCAGGATATGACCATGCTTCCTTTCCACTACACCATTTTGTTGTGGTGTGTAAGTACATGTTGACTGATGAATTATTCCTTTGTCTTGAAAAAAACTGTCCATTTTGAACTCTTTTCCATTGTCTGTTCTAACACATTTGACCTTCTTCTCAAATTGTGTTAAGGTGAAAGCACAGAAATTTTTGACTAGTGTCCTGACTTCATCTTTGCTTCTCATCAAATACACCCATGTGGCCCTGCTAAAATCATCCACAATGGTTAAAAAGAATCTATGTCCATAGATAGTATGTGTGTGATATGGCCCCCAGATATCAATGTGTATTAGCTCAAAGCAGTCATTAGATACAGTGGTGCTATTGTGGAATGGTAGCCTTTTTTGTTTAGCCAGATGACATATATTGCAAACATCAGTTTTATTCATTCTCAAATTTTCATCCAACAGGAATAACTGTTTCAACTTTTCATATGAACAATGCCCTAGTCTAGCATGCCAATTACTGCTAGAGTTACAAACATTAACTCTAATTTGTTCTAGGCTAGCAGAAGTAGAAATCTGAGGCCTTTCAAGATGATATAATCCTTTCTTCAAGCTAGCCAATCCAATCATCTTCCCACAATCCTGATCCTGTATTATGCAAGTGTCAGAATGCAACAACAATTTGCATTTGGAATGTCTAATCAACTCAATGACAGAAATCAGGTTATAGTGAAATGCAGGAACACAAAACACATTTTGCAGGGTCAACTTGCCAGCATATATGGACCCTATGTGTGTAATATCAACCTTATCACCATTTGGCAATTCCACAAACATACCTTGGACTCTTCTAGCATTTGTCAACAGATTATGATGGCACACAACATGGTGAGTAGCTCCACTATCTAATATCCAACTGGCTTTGCTATCAAAAGGGTGTTTAGTATGTTTACCTTCAATCTGTGGATTTGGGGCAAAGTTTGCAGCAATCAAATTTGCCTGTGGTGCCATTCCACTGATCTCACTCAAGGGTGAGGAGTTGTGAGTTACACTATCTCTCTGTAAGACTTGTTTCAGCAATTTGTATTCTTCTTGACTCAAGGTAACAGGTCCAGTGCCTTCATTGAAGGTTTGCTCAGCAGAGATGATCTGTGTCTGGTTGACGGATCCAGCATTCTTGCTTCTTGGTTTCCAGCCTGGGGGGTATCCATTTTTCTTATAGCACTTCTCTGCTGTGTGTCCAGTATATCCACAATAGGAACATATGGGCCTTCTATTGTTACTGTTATTGGAAAACTTTCTTGATACTGAATTGCCATTACTGCCTTGAGTGAACATAATGCTACCTGCTTCTTGAGTCTGCATATTCATTCCAGAATTGTTGAACCTCCTTTCTTGCTGTTGAACCATCATAAAAGCTTCATCAACAGTAGGAAGGGGCTTGGCCATCATGATTTGGGATTGAACCGAAGCATATGTATCATTGAGACCTCTCAAGAAAACTGAAAGGTTATCACTCTCCAATTGTTGTTCAAGAGTCTGTAACAGACCACAGTCACATCTCCTCTCACACTTGCAGGTAGGTAATGGCCTTATTACTTGGAGCTCATCCCATAGAACCTTTAGCTTAGCAAAGTAAGCACTCACTGTCAGATCTCCCTGCCTTATTTGATGGATTTCAGCATGAAGATCAGAAATCCTAAAAATATCTGCCTCACTGAACCTTGCCTTCAAGGTTTTCCATATTCTTTCCGCAGTGCCAATCCAAAGGATAGTCTGAGCAATCTCAGGAGAAACGGATCGCATGCTAGGATCCAATTAGCTGTAAAGGCAATTACGACCCCTGCCACGACTGTTGCCATGTTCTGGACAATTAGAGCCAAAGCATCACCTACAAGGCTCCGGACAGTGGATGCATCGGTGGATAATCTTGCGCCAACTGCACCACTGAAGAAGGAGATCGGTGATCGAGGAGTAGGTAGGATCGATGCAGGTTACACTACTGGAAATTCTGAAATTTCTGACCACCTGAAAGTTATCTTAAATCAAGTTGAAAGCCTTGTTCCGACAACTTTTGGTATCCGGAGAAACCCTTGTTGCTATTTCTGACCACTTTTTGCTTTCAACTTGATTTAAGATCACTTTCAGGTGGTCGGAAATTCAATAATTTCCAGTAGTGTTATATATATATGTAGTTTAAGCTATACATGCATATATATGAGATAGTTGGAAGTGATACATATATACTAATTACCTAGCTAGCTAGCTACCTACCTTGAGTTCGCAGGATCATCAAACCAGCTAATTTCTTGGTAGACTACTTTCCTGAATGTTAAAGAACGGATTCTCTGGATGAGTTTACCCCCCGCAACTCCAAAGAAGAAATTCTGGATGGGCACAACTATTAAAGTAGCTACCCCGAGGAGAATATACATGAGTGCCCAGAACTTGGAATCTTTATTCATCTCTGGTAGAGGCTTGAAGAAAATTTTGATGACAGTGGAAAGAAGGAGGCCGAATATTGGGAAGATTATTCCATGAAAGCATGCTGCTAAAACTCCAAGAAGCAAAAATGGAAACTCTGGTTTGTTGAGGAGGGCAAGCCTTTTGATAGACACTCGCTTTCTTTTCTTTAATGTTTGGGCATCTACTACTGCGGCCTCCTCTAATTTATCTTCTACTTGTTGATCTTCAGATTGTTGGATGTCAACTAGCCCTGGAATTGCATAACTATGCGTGAAAGATTGTACACGGCTGATAGATCTTCTCAGTACAGAAGATAACATCTGCTGCTCCTGCTGGCTTCTACTTAATTCATCATCATCAGCAGCAGCAGCTGGATCTTCTACACTAGTCGTTGTCGTCTTCTCTTCTTGCTGCTTGTTTCCTTCCTGCATTCTTACTAGCTGTGTATATGCTCCGTTAGGATCTTTGATCAACTCATCATGAGTTCCTAACATACATATAAAGAAATAAATTAAAATGACTAGTACAGTACAGTTGAATATATAGGTACATACTCCACCAGCTAGCTATATATATACATAAATACCTTGTTCCACGAGTTTGCCGGTTTGCACTACTGCTATTAGATCAGCATTTCGGATTGTGGTCAAACGATGAGCAATGACCACAGTGGTCCTGTTGGCCATCACCTTGTCCAGTGCATCTTGCACAATTCTTTCTGATTCTGCATCCAAAGCACTAGTAGCTTCATCAAGGAGGAGGATTTTAGGGTTCTTTAGAATGGCCCTGGCTATAGCAATCCTTTGTTTTTGTCCGCCTGATAACTGTGTTCCATGCTCACCAACCATTGTATCAAGCCCCTACATATATGAATTATATTATGCTGGATCTGATCAACATGCATGCATGCATGCATAACTACGTACGTACTTTACCTCAGGGAGCTTGTCAAGGAATTTGGCTGCATTTGCAAGTTCTATTGCTGTTCTGATCTCTGCATCTGTAGCATTTTCCTTACCATAGCTTATGTTCTCTTTTATGCTAGTTGCAAACAAGATTGGCTCTTGGCTCACTAATCCCATTTGTTGCCTCAACCATCTCACTTTAAATTTCTTCAAGTTAACACCGTCTATAATAACTTCTCCAGAATCAGGATCATAAAACCTTTCCAATAAACTAATGATGGTAGACTTGCCGCTCCCGCTCTGCCCTACAAGAGCTGCAGTCTTGCCACTAGGGATATAAATTGAAAACCCTGCAAAAATTTGCACATCTTTCCTCGCCGGATACTTGAAATACACATCTTTCAGCTCGATTTCACCCCTAATATCTTGCAGCTCAGTGCCACTCGTGTCGTAAACATCAATCACTGGTTTGCGATTTATTGTCTCAAACATTTTGTAAGCTGCAACCTGCCCTGCCGAAAATGCGTTGAGAGATGGACTTGTCTGCCCCAGTGCACTATATATATTTTTTGATAAGATCAGATCAGATCAGATGAGCCAATAAATTAAATATATTATTATTAATTAAATGCTTGCTTGCTTACATTCCTCCATTCATGATGGCCATAAGAATATTAATCACATCTCCTCCTGTGTACCCATTGTGTATTATGAGCTTGGCACCGTACCAGACCGCTAGCCCGTAAGTGCTGAACACAACTAGTAATATAACTCCCAGTCCTATGCCAGAAGCAAGCCCTTGTTGAACTGTAGATTTATAAGCGATTTGTAGCTTCTCCTCATATTTCTTGATTGCGCGTTGCTCTCCGGTGAAAGAAGCAACCTATACGTAACTAACAGATCAGATCAGATCAGATCGATCACTTATATTATTATGTTTTCAAAGACGAACGGTTTTAGACCAAACTGTTGTCTTTTATACAAAAGACAACCCTGTACTTTTGTTAAAAACTGTTGTCTACTTAAAACAAATGTAGTAGTACTTACAGTTCTAATCCCTCCTATTGTCTGCTCCACTACATTTCCAGCCTGTGCATACGCAACTTGGCCACGGCTTGACATCTTTGCAATGAGAAGCGCCATAGATCCTCCTGTTATAACCAGGGCAGGTATGGACGAAGACAACACCAATGAGAGAAGCCATCCTTTTGAAAAGGCAATTGCGAATCCTCCCACGAATGTTGAAGTAAACTGTAAGAACTTCCCAACCTGCAGCAGGCCAGCTAGGAAATTAATGCCATATATTTAATCAAACAACTTATTTAAGACCTCTTAATCCTAGGACGCCCCGGGCCAAGACCTTGTGGTCTAAGGTTGCACGCTCCCGGCCATATGCATGCATGGGAGGTTACGTTGTGGGTTTGAGTCTTATTCACTCTTTGTATTTCAGTAGTTATGAACAGTTACTGCATTGTAATACACTCCAAAAGTGTACTTTGTTTTCAGAAAAAAAAAAAAAAAAAAAGTACATTATTTCATTCCGTACACAAATAATATACTTTTAGTACATTAAAAAATGTACTTTCTTTTATGGTTCGTACAATACTAATTTTCCGATTAAACTGATCCAAATTAAAGTACTGTTTTATACAATTAATTAATTAGGGAGATCAGATCTATCAAACAATTAACTTTAATTATATTTTCACCTTTTCGCCCATGGCTTCTTGAATGAGAATGGTATCGCCAGACATTCTTCCTATAACCTCTCCCGTTGTAGTTCCCGTGTCAAAGAAGGCAATGTCCTGTCTTAGAATTGTCTGTAAGTATAATGCCCTTATACGACCTGCCTGACGCTCTCCAGTAATCATCCAACAAGACATCTCTACCGTACCATACATACATAAAATAAAATAAAATAAAATTAAAATAATATATAAAAACAATTCAACACATCTTTTAAATATATTCCCTATATATACTATCTAGCTTAAATGTTCACAACGTAACATACGCTAGCTAGCTACAAGTTCGATCTTATTGAAGAATGAAGATGGATAGATGCACTTACGTAAATACGCAGCTATGCCCGAACCGATGGCAAGGTACACATACTTGATACATATCTGGAAATTAAATCACACAATAATAAACCATAACATTTTTATTATATTATGCATTATGTTTTGCATATATAATTTTACGTAGTATATATATATATATATATAGTAGCCAGTAGGTATAGTATGTAGTACCTTAGAGACTTGATGAACAGCATGCGAGGGATCTGTAGTTCCGAAAGAATTTATGAGCTCGCCGAAGAAGATGGTCATCAGCGGCTGCGCCATCCCGTTGCCGATGGCGCCCAATGTGCCGGCGATTATTAGAGAGATGTCGACCCGGTCCGCGAATGTAAACAACTTGTAGAATGGGACTTTCTGTTGTTCTTCATTACAACTTCCTCCTTTCTCACCACTTTTATTGTTGTTCTCTTGTTTTTCTTCAACAAAACCCATGTCTGCTACCTCTCTCACTTTCACTCTCACAAACTACACAGAGATATGCGTGTGTATATATATGATTTTGGCATAAAGAGATACCGAATTTATTGCTTTAGATCAGAGTTTATTCACCTCTCATTTCCTTCAATAATCTCCACTTTACTTTCAGATCCGAATTTTAATAGCTATATATGTGTTTAATTTCTTCTGGAATTTTTGACCGTCGTCTGAAACAATTAAAAACATGTTTTTCTTTTTTAAGCCTATCAAAAGTATTTGACGACACGGATGGGCTGGAAACCAGAATTGATTTATGGAAAACATGCAATTCCGGCGGAACACTTAAACAAAAATTTAGAACTATATATAGTTTATTTATCTAATAAAAAAAATTGTGGGCGTAGTTGGGTAATATAGTTGATCAGTCAATTTTGATTGGTTTGACTTCGCCAAATAACCAAATGTTTATTTTTTGTTAATCAATTTTTTGTATCAGCTTATTGTTTCAAAATGTTAACGAGGTGCTTGAACGCGTTGACGGGGCTCATAAGCATGTTGCCTAGTACCATTGATACCGAGTATTGCTTGATGTATGTGAAGTGTATACTGTGTGTATGTAGAGTAAAGAGTAAATGGGAGAATATTAGCTCAAAGGAGTCTTTTATTCATGGTCCCGGGCTTATCACGCCGATGGTGGCAATACTGACCTAATCGGGCTTATAGCGCCGGTGATAGCAATGCTGACATAATTGGGCTTGTAGCGCCAATGGTGGTAATCCTGACCTAATCGGGCTTATAGCGCCGGTGGTGGCAATGCTGACCTAATCGAGCTTATAGAGCCTACTTCGTAAGCCTTATGCTGAGATGCGGTCTCGGGCTAACCGCGCTGGTGGTGGCAATGCCGACCTAACCGGACTTATAGCCCCGGTGGTGGCAATGTCGACCTAACCGAACTTATACCATCGGTGGTGGCAATGCCAACCTAACCGGGCTCCGCACATGACTAATCTATATATATGATCGTGTTACAGTTTACAAAGCAAAGTAGCCTAGGGTAAATCTCCCTCGTGCGTTTGGAAACCATAGTTTTTTCCGACTTTTCGGTCATAAAGTATTCAACCGGGTTTCACAACAGCTACCCAATATTCGGGGGATCTTTTTCCCAAACACATATGTGTTTCCGCGGGTCGTACAATAACTGGTTTATCTGGAAATATGCGTACCCATATCTTTCCCCCACGATGTGCATTCACTGCTGAAAATTATGAAATTTCCGACCACCTGAAAGTGATCTTATATCAAGTCGAAAGCAAAAAGTGGTCAGAAATAGCAACAAAGGTTTTTCCAGATACCAAAAGTGGTCGGAACAAGACTTTCTACTTGATTTAAGATCATTTTCAGGTGATCGGAAATTCCATAATTTCCAGGAGTGATTTCGTGGTGATTCAGTGGTATGCTTTGGCTATTCAGTAAATATCTACTCAGATCACTCCATTTATTAAAATATGATTTGAATTGAAAGAATAGAAAAAACAATTACAGTTACAAATTAAATTATCCCTAACATTCCACATATGTAGTCGTGAATATAGTTGTAAAGTTTAGTATTAAAAAGAATATTCTTCTGTTGGAGAGGGTGCTTACACTCCCTTAGCTAGTTTTAAAATGGCTATAACCAACTATAGGCATTGGTCGTTTTGGGTAATGAATTTAACCATACACATGCATATTATAAGGGAACTGCAATGGAGTTGTAAAGAATCTCCATTTCTTCCTACATGCATTGAATAAGCTAGCTCAGACATGCCTGAATTTAAAGTGTCCATACATGCAGGTTATTGGCTGTGGAGATGCCAATTAATTGCACTTATGGCCTTTGATTCTGTTTATTTATTTATTTTTATTTTTATTGTAGTTTTTAATTTTTTTTTTTATCCCCCACAACCAAATTTATTGATCAACTCATTGAAGTACAGGGTATGGGTGGAATTCAATGACCAAATTAACTAGTAATAATATACCATGATAATGAGTAGTTGAACTTGGATATAAGGGTTTCCCAGTTCTACTATCTAGCCAACCTTAGCTTGTCTATTTCACTAATTATTAGTCCTTTTACCATTTTATGCATGGATTATTAGTCATGGATAACATTAGGGTATGAGTTGTCCGGATGGAAGCTTGGAGAGTCCTCTCATTAAAACTATATATACTAACTAGTTATAACTTTTGGTGTAACGATAAACACTTGATCATTAAAACCAGTATTACTAGAGCAAGTCACAAGGACAATTATTGAAGGTACTCTAGGTATTGGCCTGGTGAAATAAAGTCATGTCCACCTTTGCTACTAGTTGTAGTTTTTAACCCCTTTCAGGTGATCTTGGTGCATGACGAGAGCTCGCATATATAGTTGTAGTGTGTGTAGCTCTAGGGCTTAGATGTTGTTAGCTCTAGTTATCCCTCTCTTTTGGATGTAGCTTGACTACTATATTTTGTTGGTGCTTGGACATCGGGGATTGCATATCCCCTTATTTTGATGTTGTGAGCTTTTGACTCTGTTTAGTTTGTGAGTTGTTTAGCCTGTGCAGTTACTCGTGGGTGGGTAACTGTGGCGGCGACACTTCCTCTTTCTTTTGTTAGCTTTGACTTTGGATTTATTTATCCTACTTATTAGTCTTTATTTCCGTTTTTTTCGTCTTTTGAGACCGCTTATTCTATGTTTTTAAGTTAAGAAAAACGAGGTGTTACAAACGCCATATGGGCAAATGACTGAAATGGAAAGAAAAGAAAAGGCAATGACAAAATAGGAAGGTTTTAAAAAATGTATAATTTTATGAAAAGCTTATTTGGGAGATGAATGAGTTTAAGAAAAAAAAAATTGAAAAAGTTTTTTTTTTTTTCTAAAAAATACGCCAAAGTGTTACTTGCGTATCTCAAGCATATAGGATGTGAACCATTTAATTAATGTAGTATACAAGTTTATATTATACTTCATTATATTCAAATCAATTTAGAAAAATTTAAAGTTGATCTAATTAACTACATAAAATTAAAATTAAAAAGTATTTTTGAATATAGTGTTATTCAAATAATTTTATCTAATTGATTATATTTCAGATTTTGTCATAAATATTTTCACATTTTCACCTCAAGTATATTTTTGGCTCTGACTCTAACTATGGTATAAACTATCAAAAATATTATATTATCATTTATAATGTATTTTGTATTTTAACCTTATTATGACCTTTTGATATTTTGTAATTGACATTTCTATCGTTATTTAAACTTCGCCCCTAATCAACTAATTTTCTGGCTCCGTCCCTGATTGGTTGTATATATTTCCGCCTATCTTGACAAAAAAACAAGAAAAAAGTCGTAAGTTTATTATATATATATATATATATATATATATATATATATATATATATATTAATTTTAGCGTGTGTTAATATATTTAGTAAATATTTGAAATTTTTGGTTTGATTTGCAGCTATAAATTCATGAGAATAATAGCCTATTATTGAACTTCAATTGATACTCGCGAAACGGCTACGAACTTCAATTAAAACTAGCGACAAGTTTTTTTTTTTTTTTTTTGTTTAAGAAAAGAAGAACTCTTATTAAAAAAACCAAAATAAAGTTTTACCAAGGCCCAAAAGTGACCAAGGCTACAAAGAGATAAAAGAATAAAGCAAAGAGGCCTAAGGCTACCTAATAAAGGAGATAAAGTCTAAACCACCAAGTGGGCCCAACATCGATTCTACAAACCACCTGTACCACATGCAAATCTGGACAATTCCTGGGCGTCATGCCCTACACAAAGGGTGGGAACGGTGCTCCAAAGCCAAAGGACTAGTTTCACCCTCAAGCGTCAGGTCGATCTCCCGCGATACAGAGCTCTGCATTTTTATCCGAGGGGACCTATGTGACCTTCCACAAAAGCAATGAAACCAGCCTCCCAAAACCCAACCACCCTCATGCGTTGGACAGATCCCTTCCGGTACAGATCTCTGCATTTTTATCCGGGGGGACCGTGAATAGTTCGCCACATGAGCAATGGTTCTCACCTCCACCCACCCTTGGGACCCAGGCCACCCTCGTACGTACAGAGCTCTGCATTTTATCGCAGAGGGCTTCAACGGCCCAAAGTCCCAAGTGATGGCTCCCTAACCACTGGTGCCAACATATATACCACCCTTAAGCGTTAGACCAGCTCCCTCGGTACAGCGTACTGTATTTTAACCCGGGGAACCTGTACAGCCATCCACAGAAGCAATAATATATATGCTAAGCACCAGAAACCCACCTCACACCCACCCAACCCTTTATAGAACAACCAGCCTTTTCTTCCAATCACCAACTCAAGCAAAATATTTAAAGCAGACTAAGAGAGCACTCCCACCTCAGAGTGTATGCTATGCATGAAACACAGGAATCAAATCACGCGAAACACACAGCCACAGATAGAAGCAGGAAGGCACGGAGAACACAGAGCAGAAAGAGAAAACCCCCAGTATTGGAAAGCCCCTTACGCCCTATGCCGGCAAGGCCAACTACTCAACTAGCCCATCAGAAAACAATAAAACATGAAGAAATGGTACAAGTCTAGGAATATCTCCGCTAAATAAATAAATGAAAGATAAATAAGGAAAATAGAGACGCGGCTCGCAGGCCAAAAATACAGGCACGCAGGCCCACACAAAATACAGGCCAGCCAATCTCCTCTCAGCACCAGCAACGAACAGTAACCAAAACCCTAACGGGATTAGCTACAATGGGCCAGCAGCAAGCCTGACTAGGTCAACGGATTTAATAGATCCTGCCCGGCCACCGTTCAGCCCGGACTAGGGTGCCTCTTGTACCGCTGACGCCTACGTTGTTGAGGCTAGGCTTGGCACAAAGCCAAACCATCATTGCCTCTAAATAGTACTTTCCCTTCATTTCAATTTTTCTTTATAAGTGCCTTTTTCCCTTTTCCTCACTTTCTCTTTTTCTTTCTTTTTTTTTTTTTTTTTTTTTTTTGTTTTAAAATGTGATACAATTCATCAAAAGCAAAACCATAGTTCAAGGCGGGTCATAATCATCAAAACCCACCGATGGGATATCATCATGAACAAGCAACGCA